GACCGCAAACGTTTGGCTAAGGCTGACTGCAGACGCTAGATATGTCCATGTATGTATATAGGAGGTACGTACATACAATTATACTAATGCTGCAGTTCTAACTAACTAGACGTTCCTTCTATGACGAAACTGCACTGAACTGGATACTGCGGATGTTGCTGGATACGGGGGGCTTCTAGGTATGGGGAAAGCTCAACCCCTGGACGGCCTCTCGGACATTACAATCGAGGTACTCGCTGGGTATCCGTTTGGTACCCTCCTAGTATCCGCGTACTGCTAGGTATACATCTTAGCTACTTAGCTACTTGCCTAATTAGATCATTGTGCTACCTCTTTTAGGGATGTTAACATTAAATCTAGAATGTTAATCTCATGTGTACATGCGAGTCAAATGAACAAAGCGCTTGACAACCTCTTTTCCATTAACTATTCCGTTCCTTTTTACCGTTCCTTTCATTGACATTGTTCCTTTGCAAACCCCCCCATCTCTTACGTATTCCCTTAGATTCTACCTACCGTCGCTCTTTTTTAATTGAATCAAGCCTTGCCATTTACAATACGACTGGGTGCATAGTGAGCGAATCTCAGTCGTCTCGCGCCAGATGGACGCGATCCGTCGTGCGACACTTACAATTACATGGAGACTCACGTAGATGAGGGCACGCCTTTGAGCAACTACCTCGAGGGTATGTATGCTAATTCCGCGTTATACCTTGGCCCTTCAATTTCGTCGCTAGAGCATCCCTCCTTTGGCGGCCGAAATGCCCGGAGCTCCCACAGTCCTAATTATAGTTACAGGCACGGGGGAAAGAGAAGAATCTCAGTGGCAGGAACCCGACGACGATAGGAATTATGATACCTCGCCATCGTCAAGCCCGCCGCGGGAGTTCGCCCCGAGAGGGTTTGCCAAAGTCCGGAAGAGGTTTCGGGAGCATCTCCCTAGACCCCTGCGCATCGATTCCAACAATATCCCATCCCGTCTCAACTTAGACGAGTTCCACAACCATGCCTCTCCTATACTCGATGTGTTACGGCTGTTAGTCGAGGCAGTAACTTCATCTATCGATCATGCTCGATCGATCGGTTTCCTTGAGCGGCTGCGCCTTGCAATCATACAGTCCCAGCTTTTAGACAACCCCTTAGTATTAGGCTATCAAACCTCGGAAGACCCTGCGCTATCGCAACCCGCTAGCGAACCAAACTTCCATGGGATTACAGTTTCCGGCGCCGTCGCCGCTATTGTGTTCGGCTTCGGTACGGCATTACTCGTCCGTTGGTTCTCACTGGGAGAATTTATACCGACATGGAGGGGGTCAATAGTTTTCGTTGTAGCAGTGTCTATAACGTCTCTGGTCGCAAGAGCATACGTACGAAGGCAGATTTTAAGAAATATCCAGAAGCAAGGACTATTAGAAGCCTCAACATTCTTCTCACTATCCCGAGAGTATGACTGCGCAAACAGTGCAGCATTAAACTTCGTAATGGAGGTGGAATTAGTTGCCCGTGGATATCGACTGTAAGTCTATTTTGCCCCTAAATGCTTAGCTTAACTAACTAATCTATAAATAGGAGCACGCCCATCCCCCCTATTAGTCGACTAGAGAATAATGGGCAAAACGTCAAGTGTCTTCAGCTTAGGAAAGCCCTCCGAAACAGCTTGACGGAAGTCATTTCTAAATACTACCATGTGGCCTTTACAATTTGGGCATTTGCGGAACAGACCGAATTGCTACAGCTACAATCCCAGTATCAGTTCACGGTCGCCGATGTGGTGGAAAGATTTCAGGTGTTTTCAAAAACCGATGCCCAGGATGCCGAGAAGTTGCAGCCTTTAAAAGATGCCGCCTTCCTCTTCCACGATATTCGGAAGATGTTTCTGAGCGGCCTGCTTGCTCTTCACACCGTCGGCAACGATTCTGACCGAGTTCGTTTTACGACTATATTAGAAGCGTTCGAGGAATTAAATACGGTCACGAGGCAAGCTTATACGCGGGTGAGGGATATTCTGGCTGATAATGACTGTAAGTAAGCCCTATAATTTCCTCAACTGCTGTTTCCTAATAGTGAAATTATAGTTCAAATTCCCAAAACTCCTCGGAGTCCTGAGACGCCTAGTCATGATCGATGGCGCCATCAAGTCCGCAGATTGAATTCGATGACTATGAATATCCGCAGTGTGCAAGCTAAATTGCACCTTTTGCGCGAGGAGTCATCCAAGGCTTTGAACGAGGCTGATGATATTACCGATTTGGGGCCATTGTTCATGGCCCAGTACGATTCAATTGGACAAGATCTACGAGATCTGATGGAAGCATGGCAGACAGGAAAGGCTTCACTAGCGTCCGGTATCGACAGAAATGAGAAACGCCTATCATCCATGGGCTCTACGCTCATGTCTCCTCTAAGTACGATGAGTGGACGGACCATAGCGGAAGAGGATGAAAACAGCCAGGACGAAGGCGTTGCTGACGCATACAAGAAGCTTACCGGAGGATCTTCGCCACCGTCAGAGCCGGAGCCAGAAGTATTTGAGGCTATCTCGGTTCCTCGCCCAAAGAGTTTATTTACGCGGGAAGAGAGGATAATTAAGATGAGAGAGGACCGCAAATCTAGAGAAATTGCCAAGGCGAAGGCCGAAGCCCAAAGGGGCATGATGCGAGAGCTGCAAGGAGTATTAGAAAGGAAGCCCGGGCATGGTCGAGTCTCTCTTTGAAAAATTTCGTTAACACTGTATCATTTCGACTAACAGCCCCAGCTGGGCCCAAGGCGCGGGTAACGATTAGATTATGAACTGGGTCATCGGTTGTAATATGGCGCATTTGGGATAGAGAGCGATCCGATTCGAAGTTGACTTCGTCATAGCGTTTGCTTTAGTTGATTTTGGGGGGGGGATTTACTGCATAAGAGAGCTGGTCATCCATACGATCTTTGCCTATAATGTCTTTTCTATGTTGCGAGTACATATACATAAATCAGTCGTCTTACTAGGCGTATACACAAGGTACATACATAATAAAACCTCACTTGAGAAGACACGATGAAGACTATTTCGTACGAGGTAAGTGGGAATAGGTTAGGGGTATATTAAAAGCTGTCTCAAAATGTACGGTGTACATCACAATGATAGCTATAGCTGGCCCCGATAAATGACCACTGTATGTTAGGTACATATACTATGTAGTGCAGGTACCAGGCATACCGCTGTTACCTGTGTCAATGTGGGGCATTCGCGCGTCTGCCTTCAATTAAAGACGCGTCCAACCACTCAACGCGTCTCCGTTCCCCAGCTTATCCCACTAATTTATATCTTGCCAAATATTCTTCAGTATAACCAATTTTAGGGTACCTCCTCGACAACAACCTCAGTCACGACCAATTCTTACGACAGTAATCACATCTCGAGTCTTCCTTTTGCCAATCTATATTTGTCGCTCCCAGATACCCAACTTTATTAACGCCCTATTTTATTATCTTCTGTCTAAAATTGACCACCATGTTAGAGGCACGACTCGAACAGGCCCAGATCCTGAAGAAGGTCTGTCTACCCAATTGTGTAGTTTCCGCTATCAATCAAGCTGACAGATTATAGGTGGTCGATTCCATCAAGGATCTGGTGCAGGATTGCAACTTCGACTGCAATGACTCGGGCATCGCGCTGCAGGCCATGGACAACTCCCATGTCGCCCTCGTGTCGATGATGCTGAAGGCCGAAGGCTTCTCTCCTTACCGCTGCGACCGCAATATCGCCCTCGGTGTAAACCTCGTCTCCCTCACAAAAGTTCTACGCGCAGCACAGAATGAAGACATTCTCACGTTAAAGGCTGAAGATGCGCCCGACTCCCTCAATCTCGTCTTCGAGAGCAGCGAGAACGACCGTATCAGCGAATACGACTTGAAGCTCATGGATATCGACCAGGAGCACTTGGGTATTCCCGAGACGGAGTATGCTGCGACTATCTCTATGCCTTCGTCCGAGTTCCGACGTATCTGCACGGATTTGATGGCTATGTCTGAGTCTGGTAAGTGGCAGTTATGCTCTTCTCTCGATTAGAGAGCTACGTATTATAAAGAGAGTATAGTTGACACGTATAAGTGACGATCGATGCTACCAAGGACGGAGTCAAATTCTCCTGCAACGGTGACATCGGCAACGGCGCCGTTACGCTTCGAAGCCATCAAAACGTCGACAAGCCCGAGCTCAACATTGACATCGAGCTCACCGAGCCGGTCGGCCTCACTTTCTCCCTCAAGTACCTAGTCAACTTCTGCAAAGCCCAGGCTCTATCCAGCACCGTCAAGATCTGCTTATCCAACGAGGTGCCCCTTCTAGTGGAGTATGGACTGGCCGGCAGCAGTTACTTGAGGTTCTACCTCGCTCCCAAGGTATGTGATACCATGATCCCCGATGCTATATCTAACATATTACTAACCATAAGCTTATAGATTGGTGACGAAGAGTAAGGAATTAAGCAAGACAGAAGCTAATGAGAACCACGAATATACCACGTCGATATTTGGAGGTGGTAGATTACCACAGGACTTGCGATGGAATTTCTCGTGCTCTACGAAATGGATACGAACGAATACCGCATGCAAAATGTCAATTGCATTATTAGTATAGGGCTTCTTGGACGGCATTGGCTTTAGACGCAGTATCGATCCATAGCTTGCGAGGCGATTAAGGACGAGATAGGCAGATTAATGGGCATAATAGCCCTAATATAAATTCGGTTTCTTACCCATTATGAAGCTACATGGAAGTTAGCTCGTGCTATGTTAGGTACATTAGGTACATGTAGTATTGATTGAAGTTACATATGATACTGAAATAGATTAGGTAGATGTACCTCACGTACACCATGCAGGCGTCTTAGGTAGATACATAGTACATGTGCGGTGACAAGGACTGCAGGGAGCAACTCAAAGAAGCTTAGTGCGGGGCTATCCGTCATGGCGGGGCACTTAGACAATCTTACAATCTTAGACTCGGCTTTTTCAATGGTCACTTATCGGAAGAGAGTCATGCGCCTTATTGTCCTCGGAACTAAGCGGAGGTTATATAATTATCACGGTTTCCGTCTGGATCATCCGCTCTTTCTCTGATGCTTACTCTTTTAAAGGGATTTGTGGAATGTACCTATCAAATACTCGACTTCCTCTAATACATTTACACAATTCGTATTATCACCTCCCTACCAACCGTCCGCATGAGTGCCGAACCACCGTTCGTCCCAGAGACGAGCGTCTTAGCCGTCGCCAGCCATGTAGGGAAAAGCCAATGCTTCTAGCAGTCAGTTTCCTATTTTCTAGTAGCTAATATCCCTCTTTGAAGGTTGTCTCAGGGTGAGAGTTTTAGATTTATACTACCAAGGTCGTCGACGACCCTTCCGTTAACACCAGATTTCCGTTGGATAGGAACGTAGGCAACAAGATCGCCGTCTTTGCGCTACAGTCTATGGGCTGCGACGTCTCCGCCATGAATACCGTGCAGTTCAGTACGTAACATGCCTGTTAATCGGTATCCCATAGTCCAGTATCCCCATGTTCTAACAGGAGTGTCAAACGCAAAGGCAACCACACGGGTTATAAGCAATGGAAGGGCACGCGCGTGTCGGCGCAGGAGATCACGGATCTGTGGGAAGGTCTCAAGCAGTCATACCTCGATAACTTCGACATGATGCTCTCGGGGTACGTTCCCGGGGCAGCCGCCGTCGAGGCAGTCGGAAACATCGGAAAGGAGCTCAAACACAAATCGAAGACTCAGAAACCAGGAAGTTTCTTTTGGGTGCTGGATCCGGTCATGGGTGACAATGGCCGCCTATACGTCGCAGAGGATGTAGTGCCTGCGTATAAAAATCTAATACAATATGCCGACCTTATCTTACCCAATCAGTTCGAAGCCGAGTAAGTCCATTGCTTTCATATGTATATTTCTCTCCTAGGTAAACGAATGAAAGTCTCGGTAAATTTCAGCCTGGGAAATGGTAACTGAGGAAGGAGTGGGAGTATGTTCGCTAACAAGCCCCCTTTTTCGGTAGGCTCCTATCTGGCGTGAAGATTACCGATTTTGCCTCTCTTGAGAATGCGATTCGAGTTCTACACCAAGACTTCGGCGTCCCTCATATCGTTATCACATCCGTGTCCTTACCGTCCGTCAACTCGTCTCCTTCTACGGAGACAACCCGTACTATGTCAGTCGTGGGTTCGACCATGACCTCGGACCGACAGCCCCGGCTCTTCAGGATCACATTCCCAGTGTTTGAGTGCTACTTCAGCGGAACAGGGGACATGTTCGCGGCACTGATGGTAGCCCGCATGCGCGAGGCGGTAACCAACTACGACAAGCAGAGCGGCGGGAATGGAAACAGTCCCCTAGTGGAAAGGCTCTCGTGGCTTAGTCCCGACGACGTTGATGCTCAGGACCTGCCGCTCGCGAGGGCAGCAGAGAAGGTCCTGGCTAGCATGCACGAGGTTTTAGATCGTACATGTGCGAGCTTAACGGCTGAGATGGCGGAGAAGCAGAAAGACAAAAATCTAGACGAGAGGGCATTACATCTTATAAGGTCGAGGGCTTCAGAACTGAAACTCGCGAGAAACCTAGGGAGTCTACGCAATCCCAAGGTGGAATACCGCGCGGAAAAGGTGTAAATAAATTTAGATGTTGCATTGAGAAAAGGGGCAAGGCTAGATTTATGGCATATAGGCATGTGGGCATATACTACATCATAGACTAGAAATGTGACTAGATATCACTAGAAGCAAGATTGAATATGGTGATGCTGTATCTGGGTTGAAGGGGTGGTTCTTAGAATGCTTATTGTTCATTTCCTTCGTATCTCATCCTCTATACATGGATGAGCTAGACTTTTCTTCCCCTCGAAAGAGTCTATCTATTTACTTATGCCCCATCTACTTGATCAGCTAGTCGGTCAATTGACCGGCGAGCCTGACCAAACTGCCAGTGGCCGTCTCCCAGTGCCATCTAAGTCTTCGTATACCCATCGTATACCATATGTACCAGACACACACCCCAGCATAGGCTTCACATGCCCAACCCAAAACAATCTCCCTAATCCCTAATTCGTCCCCGTGCTCCCAAACCCGCCGGCCCCACGCACGCTCTCCTCCAGCTCCTGCACCTCGAGCACCTCGGGGGTGTAAATGCGCTCGACGACGAGCTGGGCGACGCGGTCGCCCTCGGCGACGGCGAAGTCGGCGTCCGAGTGGTTGAACAGCAGGACCTTGACCTGGCCGCGGTAGTCGGCGTCGATGACGCCGGCGCCCGTGTCGATGAAGTGCTTGGCTGCCAGGCCGGAGCGCGGGGCGATGCGGCCGTAGGTGCCGGCGGGGACGGCGATGGCGATGTCGGTGTCGACGAGGGCTTTGCCGCGCGAGGGGATGGTGGTGGGGTGTGCGGCGTACAGGTCATAGCCCGCGGAGAAGGGGCTCCCGCGCGTGGGCAGCTTGGCGGCCGGGGAGAGTTTTTTGATTAGGAGGGGGGGGGATTGGTCGAGGTTGGGGACGGGGGGGTTGGTGGTGGTGGTGGAGGAGGAGGGAGACATTGTTTCGGTGGCGGTGGTGGCGGTGGTGGCGGTGGTGGTGTTGTTGTTGGTGGTGGTTGTAGCTGTGGTTGTAGCTGTGGGAGTAGGAGTAGGAGTGGTCTTGACTCTTTTCGCGGGCGGTGAGGTTGGTGGTGATGTTACGGATGTAGTAGCGGTCATAGTCTTGGGACTTTAATAAGGTAGATGATTTTTTAGGAGAAGTCTATACAATGTTTGTTTGAACTGTGTAGGCAATTAGATATGTACCTAAGGTAAGTACATGTAGTTTGGCAATTGGGTTTGTGGGATTCGGGTTGTAGCAGTTGCGGTGAAGAAATATTTACACTGCAGCGGAAAGTGGGATATACATGTGCCGCCGTACGTAGCAGTGGGACGCGGCGGGTGCGGCGACGCGTTGAGGGGCGTTTAGGGAAGGAGGTTGATGTTAATTGGCCAATGGCTACACGGAGACTGCGTACTGTATTGGATGCCAAGAACATGTATGTAAGTACCCTAGGTACCTAAGTATCTCCGTAGGTGTTGTCAACCGTGATACATGATTCTTCGTTTCCGCCATCTCGGAATCGTAGATATATTACAAATTACAAGTGGGAAAACGCGGAGGCGCATTGTTCTAAAATTGTCTTCGGTATTCGTGTAGGTAGAATAATGGTAGTCCTTAAAACGCCACCTAAGTTAATATTTGGGTCGCTCTTTTTGAACTGAGTAATTCAACCAAAAAAACCCCTAATCTTTAGACGTTAAGCCTACCTAATTATAGAGAATACAATCTCTTAGTTTAGTTTGATAGCTACATGTACAGTAGTCTATGCAATGTCTTGCATCTGCATGTACATGTATAAATCGTGAAACCGGAAGCGGAAGCTTGGGCAGGTTATTCATCCAAGTCTTTACCAAAGTCGATTAGCCGGAGCTTGGTAGAGTCCCTAGGGTGAAACTGCGCGACTTTAGACCTGACTAGGAACCTTGCAGCTGCCGTCTCCCTAGGAAGCTGGACGTAGGCGGCTGAACTATCGCCGTCGGATTGTGCTAAGGCGTTGAGCAGTTCCTCTGTTAAGGTACGCATCTCCTCACCCGCGGCCGCAGCTTCATCCCGGCTGCCTGCCTTAGCTCTCCCTGTTGGCTCGCCATCCTCTCGTATACCCCATATCTCGTCGATACGCCTTTGTCGTTTATCCTCATCGGGATTCTCCTTGGCCTTTTTCAGCTTGCCCTGGGAGCTAAATCCTGCGGCGAGATCGGACCCATCGATGTCCATGATATCGCCAACAACAGGGCCTCCGAGCTCTTCGGCAGCAAGCATCCCCGCAAGATGCTCGTCGATAAACTTCCTCAGCGCTTTGAGAAGCTTAGAAGTTTCCTTGTCGTAGTACTTTTTCTTTTGCTTCAGCTCGTTTACCCGTTCTGCAGCTATGTCCTCCGGTCCCATCTCCATTCGGCTTTCCAAGCCATCTCGCAATGATTGTATGCGATTGCGCAAACTCTGCGAAAGGGCTTTCTGATCTTCGAGATTGGACTTCTCAACCTCGAGTCGTCGCTTGGTCTTCTCAACTGAGTCTTTATGAGAGGCTAGATAGGCCTTTGTCTCCTCCACAGTCTGGTGGGTTTTGCGGAGTGCTAGAAGAGCAGGTAATACAGATTCCGGAAACGGAAGGAATGGTGTTTGCGATGCCAGCTCATCGTAAGCTATCTTCATGATATCCCATGGCGCTGTTGGGGGGTAAGGCTGGCTTGTGCGATGCGCACTTGGAGTAGCGCGCAGCTCGTTCAACGCGGCCTCATGCTCCCTGACTCTCTCCTGAAGCTCCCTCACCGTAGCTTGGAGATGGGACGTGTGAAACAGATCCGAGTCGTCGCTAAGACGCGCTCCGCTATCCATCTCTTCGTGGTAGTATTTAATGATTCAGGATGCCAAGACAGGGCCTCTAATATATAATATATCGGAAAACGATATTTGCAGGAGGATAAAATGCGGTTGATGTCTTGCAGCTTGCAGTTCGTAATGGACGTGTGTATATTTCCATATTGCAGAAAATATGCAGCTAGCAGTGTCCAGCCCAGAGAGCATGGGTTGAAGGGGATGCCAAGAAATGCAGCGCAGGCCAAGTGCCGATAGATCTGCGGCACAAACAATCCTAAAGTAACTCTTATTGATTAATCAATTCTAGCGAATATACACGGAGTATATTGGTATAATATTTTGGGCAAAACTTCTTAGACTTAACAATCTACAATTAACATTAATAAATTCTTTTATAATAACTTAAACCAAGATTGTTTAAACTTTCGACTTCCGAGATAATAATAAAATAGTAAGAAAACTATATGGTAATTACTGAAAGAAATTGACACTTCTTAGTGTACACGGTGTGTTGTACGACATAACATACCTAACATTAGGTAGGTACATATATATATACAGTAGCAGAGTGAGATAGCCGGAATGAGAGAACATATGTATCTTGTTGATGTATAAGAAAATTGATGAGCAAGCACGATAATAAGTACACTAATAGTATAGTTACATAGTATACATACAAGTAGCACAGACGAGGCTGACGAATACATGTACCTTATTAGGTAAAAGGGCTTACCGTAATGGCAGAGTACAGAGCTAAATTCGAAAACGCACAGTAGTACTAGAGCCAATTAGGTGGCAATCCATGACGCTTGGACGTTACCTCCCTAAGATTTTTGTGTGGAGGAGCCCCATTAGTTACCAAGGTACAATACACAAGGTAGGTACGTTTTGCAAAAGCAGCAAAGCAACATACCGTGCCCACTGTAAGTTAGATCTTTCTTGCATTTGAGTGAGACAACCTTTATGTAGACAACCTCCAACCTACAACACGCATCTTGCCTCCTTCAATTCAATCTTTATCCTCCCCCTCCCCCTTTCCGTCCTTCTTCGCAAGCCGTATCACCCCCTATCGCCTGCGTTGCGAACTTAACACTGCACCTATATTTTTTTTCTGCCCCTTCCCCCCCCTTCTATTACTATATTTTACGTTTAATTCCCCCATCGTCCCGCCTTCTCCCCCCTTGTTGAGGCTTGTTGAGGTAGTTTCGCAATCAAGCTTCTCTTAAAAAGAGACAACGAGCTTCTGTCGCTTATAAAAGCCTCCTTTACTGCACATATCCGCAGTAGGAAGTAATTTTTATAATCGCTTTGGCGCATCTCAGTTCGCCTCGAGACGCCAAACGCGACGCGGGTCGACCTGTCCTCCACCGCCCTATCAAAAAAAGGTATTACCTACTAGAGAGGCAGCTTCTTCTTTAAAAAAAAAAAGGTGCAGGCATAAGAAAGCATAAGAAAAGGAAATCGGCATCGAGATATCTGCCTAAGGTGTTTCCTATTTGACGGAGTAAAAGGTTTGAGAACTGACTACGTCTCTCTGATCGTGCCACTTCTTTCCAATCCACCACTCCTACTTCGTCTACTTCGTCCGTCCTTCCATACTCTACCGCCGACTTGATCACCACATATTCGTCTTGGTCAAGCTAGCAATCCTCTACCTCCATCAAATCGCCCTCAGCTACCGTCAGGTTATCACCATTCTCGTCCTACCAATATTCCGCCTTGCAACACGAGCGTCCAGGTCCCAGCCGGATCTTTCATATCACTCTTCTCGTTGTCCCTGTCGTCACCTAACCTGACGACCCCGATCTCGTTCCATCATCGACCCTACCTTTCAAGTCCGACCTGACCTCTAGATCCCGCATACAAATATTCATCAACTTGAGGGTACTTGAGCCATATCACGTTCCGAACCACTACACCTGCACGTTTTCCTTCGAAAACCCTCAAGGTGTAGATTTAAAAAAAAAACAAGTCGATAATTCAATCTCAATTCGACCGTCTAAACGGCCTACCGTAGCGTCCGCTCAAGAGTGAACAAGTTCATAGAACAATATGTCTGCCTCGCCTTCTCACCCTACTAATCCGGCTAAACGCCCTCTGGAGGATGCCTCCTCTCCTTCTCGAGGCATTGATCAACCTGAAGCCAAACGGCCTGCCCTTGACAAAGTCATCAACAACGGAGATCATGACAAGGATATTGAGCTTCCTGAGAGCAATGGTGATAGTGTCCCAGTACCGACTGGAACTAATGGCACAGCTAAGCCTGAGGATACCAATCAGGATAAGGCTGAGATCAAAGATGAGCAGGGCGATACCGTCGTACCTGATGTTGAGGAAGCCAAGTCCGCCGTAGACGCCGCAGTTTCAGGTCCTACAGGCGTGTCCGGTGCCGCCGCGACCAACACTCACGATGAGACTACATGGATTCATATCCGTGCTGTCATCTCTAGCCCTGAAGCAGCTACCATCATTGGTAAAGGTGGCGAAAACGTTTCTAATATCCGGAAGCTATCTAGTGCCAAGTGTACCGTTAGTGATTACCAGAAGGGCGCTGTAGAACGAATACTTACTGTTAGCGGAGCTGTCGAGGCTGTAGCCAAGGTATTTAACCAACCGCTAATCTTATAACATGTCTGAACCCCAGCTAACGTTACCTTTAGGCGTTCGGGTTGATTATCCGGACCTTAAACAATGAGCCTCTAACGGAGAAATCCAACGCTCAGTCCAAGACATATCCTCTTCGACTACTCATCCCTCACGTGCTTATCGGTTCCATTATCGGGAAGGGCGGCGCCCGAATTCGTGAAATCCAAGATGCTTCAGGAGCGCGGCTCAATGCCTCTGACTCGTGCCTGCCGCTGTCTAGCGAGCGTTCCCTCGTAGTCATGGGCGTAGCTGACGCTGTTCATATTGCTACTTATTATGTAGGAAGCACGCTCCTCCAGCAACTTAACGAACGCTTCGGCGGCCCCGCCGCGTCGGCCTATGCCACTCGGAGTGGCGGTCCCACCGGCGTCGTGCCCGGAGGAATGCAAGTGGTTCCGTACTGCCCTCAGCCCGCTGGCGGCAACTTTGGTCATCGCGAAAACTACGGTCGACGACCCGATCCCCGAGCCCATCACATGCCGCCAGCTCCGTATACGCAACCCTACCACCCGCATGCGGCCACGCCGCAACCTAACCCGAGTGTGCCGATGCACTACGCACCCCAGGCAGCTGGATATGGTGCCGCACCGCACATACCGCCTCACCACGCTCCTCACGTGGGTGGCCCCCATCCTCACGGCGGTCCTCCGGCTCAGCCAATGCACGGCGCTGCTATCGCAGGAGCGCCAATGACTCAACAGATCTACATTCCCAACGACATGGTTGGTGCCATCATTGGTAAGGGTGGTCAAAAAATCAATGAGATTCGGACAATTAGCGGCAGCGTGATTAAGATCAACGAGCCGCAAGATAATAGTAATGAACGGCTAGTAACAATCACGGGAACCGAAGAATGTAACAGGATGGCACTGTACATGCTCTATTCTCGACTGGGTGAGACACCTAAAGCACCACGCGGCCGCGCGTAGCAACCGTCAACAGCACTAATCATAACCATGGCGAGCAGAGAGTGAAAAGCACCGTATCTAACGATTATAAAAAAAAATATCCCGCCGGCTGTCAGCGTCGTTTTCGAGTTTTTCTTGTCGCGTGGGGGGCATTTTGTGTTTCAACACATCGCGTTCATTGTTATCTGGTTCAGAACCTCTTTGATGCATCGCCCCGGGGAGGAGGAAGGTCACAGGAGGAGGTGGCGTACATGGCTGGGTTGCTGGTAGCTTCATGTGGTTTTTTAGGTAGTTGGGCAATCAGATCTTGGTCTCAAAAGCGGTAGTTCCGCTTGATGGCGGCAGGCAGACGGACGTTAGCGAGATGATAAGCTGATTCATCTCATACGATCTCTGCGTCTTTACTGGCAGGTAACAAATACATATTCTTCGAATTGCTATCCAGTCGTCCTATACCTCACGTGCCTTGTTATCCCTTGATGTCGTTCTCATCATGAGTCCATGAGTTCTATATGCATGGCGTAATGGTAGTACATATTAGCCTAGGTAGTTACGTTCGGTAGGAGAAATGCATCAGTTCCAGATCAGTCTTTTCAAATGATTACTACCAGTCTTATTATCCTTCTTGTATGAAGACTCCCTATAGTTTAGATGTTTGATCAAGCATGAAATTAAGATATCTATGATAGGCATAGGCAAATGAGTGCCAGCTAGCTGACTGATGAGAAGAATGTTGAGACGATACGACGATTAGCACTTTCAGTGTCTTATAGTCTATATTTATCTCGATAATCGTAACTTATTATCTGCAAGTCGTGACGCCTAAAAACTCCTTAGGTACGTGAGTGTTTCCCAAGGAATGTCATAAGAATATTGCTTTTTAAACAACTCTGCGTATTTAGATGACGCGAGTATCAAGTTTTGATAGAATATCCCTTAGATGATAAGTCCTACTAGGTCAAACCCGGGCTTAAGTATCTCTCGACAGGTGGTTCTACATAGCGTAAATTATAGTTGTAGTGACGAGTACCTAGCGATTCCTCAAGAATCGCCAATTACCATCATAGCGCCGAGGACTTTCAGGCCGTTATTAGACCCTTACGTGCACGCGCGGATGAGACGTCTACTTTTCCTTTCTTAACCTAGAATAAAACTATAAATCCACCCATCGATAAATACTCGCCCCTTAAAGGTTGCCATACCAAGTATATGCATATCAACCTAGTGTAGAAGGTTAACATTGTATGCTCGTGAGCCGACTGCTGCGTGGACAAGTAATAGGATCCTAAGATATATTAATATAAGCCCCTGTATTTACATTTAATAACTATATTATCTAGTTCTGATAGCTAAAGTAGAATGTCTAATGTAAATGAATACCTACCTATCTTAAGTACTTCGGATGGTTAGGATAATGTTATGTCAACTGTTATGGGCGTAGATGAGCCAGCCTCGTGTAGGTTGGTTCCGAATAGAAAGAATACTTTCTTTTAAATAAGGATATGAAAGAATGTACGAATAGAACATATGTTCTTTCTAGGGTAGCTTCATCATGGAGGCTCAGGTTTCTACGGTGTTCTGCTAGGTTGCGACTTAGAAGAAGGCATACCCTTATTACTCTCTGTACCATGCAGCACCTAACCAGCCCGAGAGAATGGCTAAAGGGTTTTATATCACAAGCAAACATGCATTTGGCGTGGAAAGTGTACCGCGGGAGGAAATATAATATACGTAGTTGAAATAGTCATATAGAATTATGCTACTCTCCCCTTTCCGGAGATATCATACGAGATATAAAAGGGGATAGTCGAGGATAAAGCCTGTGGTACGTGACATATCTCTTGCCTTGCATCCATTGTTACAACCTCGAATCAACAATATAAGACGCAATATATTTATTAATCCTAACGGAGCCTTCTTTATGCACGTAAGATGAACTTACACAGGTATTCTTCTAGTAAACCAACAACGCATACTATACTAATCGGATAATATATCACACGTTAATATGACTGGCAATACTATCTATACCTTAGGTATATTACAAGGCAAAGAACGACAAAGCCTCGCATATTACTTAGGTAGTTTACACGATTCTCCTCGAGACGCACGAACCTTCATCGTCGGGCATTATATATATACCTACAGAAAATTTCAATCTCCCTCCCTTACATCTCGGTTCTCCTCAGCCCTACGCCACCACACATGGAAAGTGTACATACATACATACATACATACATACATACATAGTACATGCGTTCTAGATCTCGCTAACCGCCCTATCCCCCCTAAACGGTCAGCCAGCCAACAGCGGAAGGCGGTCAGCACTAGAAGACATTTGCACTTGCGAGGCGCGGAGCGAAGGATTCCTCTGGCTTGCTTGGTGAAATTGAATCGGACTGAATGCAGGACCATGCAATCAATCAATCAAATGTTGTTCGCTTACATATTTGGCCCGTCTTAGCAGCCGTCTTAACCTAGGCGGTGTCGCACACGGACAGACAGACAGACAGACAGACAAACCTAGGTACAATACCTACTATTATTTCTTCGTCTCACGTTGTGCTTTTACAGGTTTGCTTTACTGCTAACTAACAGGTAGGTTAACTAACTATGTATTGGCATATGGGGATTATGATAGGTGGCACTACACACTACACGGGGGCTGAACGGGACGTGTGGAAAGCTGGCAAGCAACAAACAAACGCCAAATTGAGGTGTCATTCCCGACATCTCTGTTATGGCGGAGTGGAGTTGGGTTCGATGACGCGAACGGCAATGTCACGCAGGTATTACCTCATTTACAAAATTTGCAGTGCGCATGTCCCTAATACATAGTGTATACGCTATTATATCTTGGGTCCTAATGCAAAGTCATCAACTAACTTGAGGTAGGTAGGTACCTAGGTAATATCATCTGGGCCGAGCCAAGAAAGCCTCACCGCAGCCTTACCACGACGGATGGTCTGCAAAGTCGTGTAGAGAAATTAAATGGAAAAGAGGCTGTTAAGCCATCGAGGGCCGCGATGTAACAAGAAGAAGGCGGCGTGTAACGTAGACTGTCAAAAGCCGAAGTTGCTTCGGCCCCCTTTTCTCTCGTACGGAGTAACAGTTGGGCGATCTCCCGTTAAAGCAAGGCAAAGTAAAGTAAAGTAAAGTAAAGCAAAGTTAAGCACCGTAGTTCTGCCATGTCTAAATGCGTTAATCGGTTAGGAAGAGTCGGATGATTCGCCGAAAGTCCTAGGTTAGGCTGACTAGGCTGCTGGGTAATTACATGTAATTATATGGTGCATTGCGGTATGGGTTAAGTACCTAACCTAGGTACCTAACCTACCTAGTAGAATTATCATTATCATTATCATTATCATTATTATTATGGTACAATGCATACAAGGTATTACCTAATAGCCGCTATACCAGCCTAGGGCTTCAAAGCCGGGCTGCATAGTGCCTCCCTAAGCTACTGCAGGAAGTCGCCTTCCTAGATGAGCCCGCGGGCGCCAGGAACAATTGCCCACGGTCCGCGCAATCCTTTTTGTTAAATTGTTAAATAAGTTTTGTTTCAAGCACCGATTTTATGTGTTAGTGAAATTGAGTCTTTGAAAATGTCTACGTACGTACATACGTATAGGTACTAAGGCATATACAAAGTAATTATCTATGTACCTCTATGACTAGTTACATATATAATCTATACTTAGAAAAGTAATTATTGAAATCTCAACTCAGCCTTGGAATATCGAATGCATGCATATAACAAATGGCATTAACCAGCGCTGCACCGTGACCGCGCCCTGCTCCAATTATTACTCGATCCAAGTTATTTACGGGTGATTAAATGGGCGATGCTACAACTACCTAATGTACCTAAGGTAACAAGCCCAGGCCCCAGGGGGTAAAAAAGTAGGCTTTTCGCATGCCCCTTTCGCTAATTCGTTAATAGGTCTTCCTTCGCGAGGGTCTTGTAATTTACCCTTTCCAGAACCCATGTAGCACATTGGCCAGTCAAATCGACGCCAGTTGGACTTTAGGGGCAGGTGGGCTGCCTTAAAGTGGAGATGGAGTCCAGGTGAAGTCCAGTGAAGAAATCTTGGCAGGCGGATATCCATGTGGTTTAGCCAGCTGGAATGTATCTTTACTTGTTTATTTGGCCTGTGGGATACCTGTCGCGTCATTAGTGAGACACGAAGAGATCTAGCCCACGAACATGGCACGCCCCCGTCGGCTAGGGGATCACCTTATGGGAAATACCATGCATGACTGACTGTCAGGCACATTTGCTGATTTGCTGAAGACCTCATTTTGACTGGTTTTAAGTGGTTCGGTGGAGAGGATTTAGCTGTGCCTCTCTCAGTTGTCCCCAGTTGTCCCCAGTTGTACCTGGTCGATCCCTAGTCGGTCTCTCTTAGTCAACTGAATATCGTCCACCATTTTATCTCACGTCCTCCTGCCTTTTTTCTTCCTTTCTTCTTCCTCCAACCAGCCGCAAACTTCCAAGTCGTCTTCAGACTCCCACACTCTTTTAAACCTTCGCAGCTCAGCCCAGCTCGCGTCAGCCCAACGGCAACTTTCACTCTTTTATCAATCCGCTCTCTTCTCGGTATTCGTGGTTTTTAGTAATTCCAACTCTTCACCCACCAACATATTCAAGATGCGTTCTACTACTTTCGCCTCTGCCTTGGCCTTTGCTGCCTCGGCCTTCGCCCAGACTCCCGGTTACGCCGTCCTCACCTCTCCCGCTGATGGTCAGAAGGTCCCCTCTGGCCAGACCTTCACCATCCAGTGGCAGCCTGGCCAATACACTGGCCCTGCTACCATCACCCTTCTCGGTGGTGAGACTCCTACCACTCTGACTCCTGGCCCGGTCCTCGCAAGTAAGTGAACAATACCAATATTGAAACTGTTGATGAACTGGTATTAACAAGAAATTTAGCTGTTGAGGTTTCTCAGGGTACCTTCTCCTGGAAGGTTGACTGTGCGCTCGGCACCGACAAGACCTACGGTATCAGGATCTCCTCTGTTGCCAACTCTGCGACTTTCCAGTACAGCTTCCCGTTCGCCATCGCTGGTCCATCGTGCAGCTCCGGTGCTGGAGAGACTCCCAAGAGCAGCGCCTCGGTCGCTTCGGTCGCCTCTAGCAGCACTGCTGCTGGTGGCTACCCTACTGAGGGCTACCCTACCCAAGGTTACCCTACCTTGCCCAGCAGCAGCAGCAGCAGCAGCTCCGTCATCAGCTCTACTAGCAGCTCTGCTCCTCCCTCTTACCCCACGGCTCCCCCGGCGTACCCTACTGCTCCCGCCCCTAGCAGCAGCAGCACCGTCGTCAGCAACACCACCATCGTTGTCAGCACTCCCAAGGTCCCGACCTACCCTACTGCGGTCACCTCCGGCAACCTGTCCACCACCGTTCACGTTCCCACCTACCCCACGACCATCATCACCAGCTCCAGCTACTCCGTTGTGACCCCTGTCCCTAGCGCCAGCGTCACCACCTCGGCCCCCCCCTCCATCCCCACCGCTGGTGCCAGCAACGTTGCTGCCGGCTCCCTGGCCTTGGTCGGTGGTCTTGCTTTCGCCCTCCTCGGCATGTAAGGTGGAATCGCATCTGTTTTCCGTTCGCGATGACGTTTTTAATAAATTTGGTTGTTTTGCCGGCGAGAGCAAGGGATTGGAACTAATGAACTAATTGACCACATACCGAGATACCTTTCTGAGTGGCACCGGCTGTAGATGCGGGCATTAGGTTGGATACGATGGATATCGTCATACCACTGAATATGTCAATATAGGCAGCTGCTGTACCTGAATATACCCCCTAAAAACTCATTGTTCTTTGTCTTCGTGTGCACGTGATGTTGAGCTGGATACCTGTTATTTACCTGTGAAGTATTTTTGTGTTGAATATGTATTAGTTCGAGTAGTTCATAATAAACAATAATTGCCTTTTTACCTGAGGTAAATTTTGTATTTCTGTATTAGTGATGGGTGTTATTGTATAATTGACACACAGCTATGGAATTATCGCAGTTACGATAAACAACATCGATGTTGTTGAAAATTCAAGTCAAGTTTCAACCAAGTCTAGGTATCAAAGGGTTTAAACTAATCCTGTCCGTCGATGTCATATCCACGTGGTGCGGCGCCTGTGTGACAAGATATTGTACAATCGATTAGGTTAAGGTTATCGCGCTGCATCGCATTTGCAATTGCAACCCTGAGCGCCCAATCGCCGTCCCTTTAGCGCATCTCCCGAATCGGGAAGCCTTGGACGACGATCGCGAATGCAACTTTTCTTTTTTCTTTCTTCTTTTTTCTTTTCCTTTCTTCACAACCGCGTTAAGATGTGATATCCTTGCTTTATTGCTACTCTGCCACATATGAGACGGCTCGGCGGGGGGGGGGGAGTCTCTCGCTGTTTGTTTCTGCTTAATTGGCGGGGATGCGCATCCCACTCGTCGTCGTCGGTTTATCGGTTTAATAGCCTACTTCTTGGTATGTACTCGCTGTCGTACCGGTATGTATTTTGAAACGGGTGTTTGGAACGGAGTTCGCGATATTGCGAAGAAGAAACAAAAAAAAACAAAAAAAAAAAAAAAACAAAAAAAAGCCAAGGAATACTCCTATGTAACTAATAGATTTCCCTGATATTAATTAACTAGTATACGAAGAGCGTGGGATAAGTCCACCTAACAAATAGGTTCATGATCGACATCATCCTCGTATAGGATAATAACCACCACATACACCGCAGTTTGAACAAAGCAACTATTCATTCTTAAATCTCATATTATTTTCGGGATCTACACTTTTATACCCTGCCCTGCCCTGCCCTTCCCTATACTACCTAAGTCGTCTCCATTTTCCTATTTCCCATTTCCCAGTAATAGTCCTAGCTATGTAGCATCCATCCCATCCCATCCCAGTAATCTAATTATCCGACTGACAAACTACCTATCCGGGTATATACCGAAACAAACGCCCCCCCCCCAAACGCCAGCCCAATTTCCCCCGTGCGTTGGGGTCGTTTCAAACCTGCAAATACCCTCCAACGCCAAGATCTCGTTTCCAGAGATACTTTTGTGTAGTCGTAGTAGTACCTACCTAGCCACCTAGTGCGTGCCAAGTAGTAGATAATCAGCGCCCGCCAACCTGCCCCTTCGGTACGGGCTGCACCCAGCATAGCCCGAGGTTGAGCACGATGGTAACTACGCCGATGACCCAGAAGGCGGTAGCGTAGTCGGTGCCCCCGCCCGTGAACCGGAATATGATGGCGAAAACGACACCTCCGAGGTTACCCCCCGCGCCCGTGGTCCCGGAGACGATGCCGTTAGCATGCGGATGCACGTGCGGCACGAGCGCGAAGTTGGCGCCGTTGCCCGCTTCTAAGAACAGCGCCGCTAGTGCTACGAGCCCGACCATAGTGGACAGGCTATGCGGGTTAACCTGCCCAATCACGACGAGCGCGGCGCCGGATATGCACCCGCACACCACGATCCAGATTTTCTTGGCCCAGGCGCTGCGGCCCGAGGCCTGGTACAAGACGTCTGCGACGACGCCGCCGAGGGGCCGGGTAACCACGTTTAGGAAGCCGAACATGGCGGCCCAGTTTGCGGCGTTGGTCTGGCCTAGCTGCGGGAAGTTCTTTGCGTAGTATGACCCAAGTACGGAGTTGATGGCGAGCTCCCCACCGAATGAGCACATGTATGTCAATATGTGGAAGGCGGTCTGTAGGGAGAACGTCACCCGTGAGATCACGCCCCATGTGGGCTTCTGCACGACTTCGCCCTTAGCTGCTCCTATCATTTCGCCTCGCGACATGACGGCTTCATGGTCCCAGTCGGCGTGTTTTTGACGCTTCCTGGCGCCCCTCTCTACCTCGTGGATGCTGTTCCCGCCGCTGGAGCTGGCCTTATCCGTGATTTTACCAGGGACGTCGATTACGCTATCTGCCGGACCAGGAACTGCGTCGCCGCCGTGAGAGGCCAAGTTATGCTCGGCGTGGAGATGCCGCTCAGACCATTTGCCGGTTGGTGTATCGGGACATAGGAGTAACATGGATATACCGGTAGCAAGTGTTATTACGAGAGGAACGATGAAGGAAAGACGCCACGCCACTCCATCCGAGTAGCCTCGAGCCACGAGGGAGTCAAACACGGCCGGCATGATGAAGTAGGTGATTCCACCGCCGGCGTTGCCCCAACCTCCAGTTAGGGCGTTGGCGGTACCGACAACATTTTTGTCGAAGAATCCTGTCGACCAGACCTGACAAGGCACAAAAGACCCACCAAGGATACCTATGAAGAATCGGCTCACATAGAGGCCTTGGGCATTGTGAACGAGGGGGGCCAATCCGAGAGGGATCGACCCGAACAGGAGTGTACCGGCGAATACCCAACGAGGCCCGAACCGATCGCAAGCAGGACCAGCCGCAAATCGAATCAACAATCTCCAATATGTCAGCTCCGAAAGGGGACCATGGAACCAGGGTAATTATAAAACACATACGTAGCACACAACGAGACGATGTTGGAATTGGCAATCTCGGCCGAGGTAAGATGAAGGTTGGCTTTGATGGTATGCGTCAACTACGAAGTGCGTAGTGTCAGTTACTCGCCTCCTTTTGCGTGGAGTTTCTTAGAAGATCGGGATACTAACCAGTGGTGGAAAGGCATACCACGCCCAAAAGGCTACCATAAATCCCCACCAGGAGAAGAAGAATACACGCCCGTAGACATTAAAAACATTTAAAACGGGGACGGAGCGGGCCTTGCGGTTAATAGGATCCACTTCCGGGGCGGCCCAGAGGTAGGACAGCTTCATCTTGAGCGTTATAAGCCTAAGCCCTAAGAAATCTTACGCTTGTAATTCGTAGACTCTCACAAAGGGGCTGACCGGTTGGGTTTCAACACAAAGTTTATAGCGATGGCGACTACTAACTGGTATAAACAGAAATTTGGTGGGTTGAAAGGGGCAATGTATATACTCCTCTGATCCAATAGCATATACTCCTAGATTAGTGAATGGACTTCCCGTGTAACTGAGCATCTCCGGACGAATCGTCTCTGGGGCGGGTCTAGAGTAACGGACCCCACCATACGACTTCACGGATGTTTTCCGCGGAAGATTCTCCTGACAGATAAACTTCTGATGTGCCGAGCGGAAACGCGTGAGCCAAGTGCTAAGGAGGTGGCGTGACAGAATCGCCCAATGACCGTTGAGGTGATGATGAGATGTATAATGTCAAGGAGGCTCCTTTCTATCGTTGGTGCAAGAGAAAAGGCAGCTACGGCTAGAAGCTGGTCTTGACAGGCCTGAAAAGATGTAAGCTGACGATGTTTTTACTAAAACGTAGGCATTAGCGTATTCCTGACGACTAACAGGACATCCTCTACCTAACCGCGCTAGATATTCTCGACGTACATCGATAGCGCCAGTGGCTTACTGACGGAGATGCGAAGCAGGCAGCCGGAGATATTACACGGTATCGTACCGTTCTCGAATAACCTGCCGTATATACACACCGCCGATTCGAGTTTATAAAACTCTACTATGACCTCGTCCGGCGAACCTCGTTTACTAACGATAAACTCGACGACCCAGATATCAACAACAACAAAAAAGAGCGACATTCGCAGGCCAACTTTGCCTTTCCGGTATTATAAATTGGCCCGGACACGCACCTGAAAGAGAGCTTCTGACAGCGAATCAGACATGACATGAAGGCGATAAGTTCCCGTCGTAAAAGCAAGTAAACACGCGGATATTCGCACAAGCCCAGACAACTAGTCAAGGGGCACGGCAGCCAACGCTAATGCCAATAGCTTCTTATCTTATCAGAAGGAGCCCAGGATCGACAATGGCAGGGCTAAGCCTTATTTGACGACGAGTCCGCCCAGCCTAGAGATAAGGACGAGAGTCGTCAGTGGCCTATGAGTTCAGGACAGACCACGGCCTGCGATCTCCGCGGGAACGTGGCTTGAATTAGTTCCGGGTCGCAGATTTGTCGAAAGATCAATCCGGGGTAGGAATTTATCTTTCATGCGCAATGTGCACATACGGTGGGTGCAACCAACCAGTCCCTTGGCCGCTCAGAATCCGAGGCGTTGGACGAGCCCAAACGACTGGCGCGTTGAGATGTAAGATGTAAGTATCCTTGCAAAGTGTCAGCGTGTCAGCATCGAGGTTAGACGAGGTTAGACGAGGAGGGCGTAATTACCACCCTACGAGCGTGGTATGGGACTTACCTACCTGGTCGAATAACTACCTAAGGTAGACAGATAAATGGAGATGAAACCCCAGATATTGATCTGAACGACTCGATGCTAAGGTGTTAGTAGTTATAAAGCGTCTATGTAGATACCTAACCTTAGGCATCTAGGTTAGGTAGTATTTCGATTATTTAGCGACATTTGTTGCTGAAGAGGTCCTTACCTAGGTACATAGATAGGGGAGATCTCCACCAAATTGTCCACCAAATTGGTTACCTATCCCCTGTTTCCTTTGTCCCCCGTCCCCCACGTACAAGGTACATACCTGTGACCTGGGTTGGTGTGCCTAGGTATACTATGTATAGCATACTATGTATAGTTTTGGTGTGCATACACTTCAGCCTTACGAATGTTTACTCGGTTAACCAAACTACGACCTTTGTGTACCTGCGTTCCGAATATACGATGTAACGATTTTTTTTTTTCAATTGCGTGGGTGAATACTAGTAGTCGACGACTAGATGCATTCTATTATATCTGGCCCGGATAGACAATTCCCTACTGGGGCTTGTAAACAATGAATGTTTGAGAGAACGTTGCGCATTGCGTTTTGGGATTTGCGTCTTAGTACATATGGGTTTCGGCATTTCCCACGATGAAATCATCGCTGGGTAGGAAATATGGAGTGTCCCTTCAATTGGAACTGGGCGCTACGTTTCTTATTTCTTTCTCACCGCTCGGTCTAGGCGATTACGGATGTCGTTGTGTTCCTGCTATAATAATAATGATAATAATAATAATAATTTGATCGGTTCTCCCGCGGCAATTCCATACTGCTTCCGCGGGCTTACACCGAGTTGCGTCTCGGTCGTCGTAGCCGCTTGGAAATATTCTCGGGAGTGGTACGGAATGGTTGCGGCAACTCAATATTAATAGCGGATCGGTTACTGGCTACGGATCTCGGAGTATCCACTCGGTAATCGGCAGTTTGGCCGTAGGAATGAGAATGACATTAGGTTAGTATTGAAGGGGCTAGAGTCATATTGTCTAGTTCTGTAACCTAGGGCTTTCTAGACATGCTACGTGAATGCTTAATATGTTTAAAGCGTCTGTTACCTCTACGATATGCACTGCGAGACCTGCGAAACTCCTTCACACAGCAATAGCCCCAACATCACTTGAACTATTTATTGAGACCCTCCTTATCTTACCAACATATCCTGCGGCCGTTATTGATAAACTGTTCGTGAATATTGGTAATTCTCGTTGTAAGTAACAAGTCCGATAGGATCTCGGGCCGGCTCGGTGGGGCCGTGTTCCGGTTGTTTAAAAGTTGGATATAAACTTGCTAAGGTTATGATAGAGAAGCGGTGTCGTTGCCAGGCTCGATCAGGATGCTGGTTACCCGATAATCTTTCAATTTATCTCCTTTTGCTTCGGTTGTCGGTCAACAGCCTGGAACAAGATTCTTTCATAACTACATCTGAATGATGTCTAAGATGCTAGGTTAGACTGTTGCATTTCTTATGGAAGCCGCACCGACCAAGGCATTTGAACGGCTCCGGCTCCCAATATGCCCAATATGTGAGTTGTATACCTGTGGCGAGTCAATAAAGTCGGTGTGATTCCCCTTGTTTACCAAAGCTTGCCTATGTGCGACTTGCAACTTTCCCTCTTGGTGATAACCTTTCGAAAATATTGATACTTGAAATTTTCTCGTTGCTTGTTGTTAAGAAATATTCCCCTATTGGAAAACATGGCAGATCTTACAGTCGACAACCCTCAAAACCCCGAACAGAGGAGATCAAATAGTATACAGACTGCCAGGTCCGGCTCTGATTCGAATTTGTCGTCTAATATGGATTCTATATTTTCGAGAGCGTGGTGCCATATGTTGGAGCCCGTTCGTCCGTCGGGGTTTGCTGAGTTCGAACTACTCATTCTAACATTGTAAGCAATTCTCCGTGTAAACCAAAGTCGAAAGAGTGAAGAGATGTCAGGATCCTAGTAGATAAATATGTTTAGGCACCTAGGTATGTTAGCTAACACGTGCTTGCTATTAGTTGTACGGGCATGCAAGATGCCATCTCCTTTCCCGACTACCACTGCTTCGCGTCGAACCAGACAGGAAATACGGTTTTCCTCATGCTGGCCATCATACTACCTCATCTTAACGGCGAAATGTTTATCACGGCAAACATTGGGTCAGCTCTGGGTTTCTTCCTCTTGGGTGGATGGTTGACGGGTCAGATTAGCCACCTCGTTGGCCCACGGCTAAGACTCTGGCTCGTCTGCTGCAACTTCGTCCAGTCATGCTTGGTATTCGGCGCAGCGGCTATGCAGTACCAACGCGGAGCAGGATTAAAAGGTGGCGACGCTGTGATAGTTATAGGACTTCTGGCATTTGCTTCTGGGAGTCAGGTTGTGCAGTCGCGATCCCTCCAGATGACGGAGATAAGCACAGCGATGGCCACCGCCGCGTGGATCGACCTGCTAATCGATCCTAAACTCTTCAAGCTAAATAATAGACCACGTACAAGGCGTGCCATGTTTCTTGCGACGCTTGTCCTCGGGTCACTTGCAGGTGCGGGTATTTACCGATCCGCCGGGTCTTGGGTAGCCATTTTGGTATCGGCTGCTGGGAAGATGCTTGTGACGGGCATGTATTTATTCAACGGTGCTGATAAACCCAAGACGACATCCGGTCAAGATGCTTGTTAGGTGGGTTATGCGAATATAGTATGCTGGATACATGTTAAAGAGCGAACATGTACATATAGACAATATCTACTTATTACACGTAATTGATGCCATACGAGTGAGGTGAAGTTTGAAAAGAGGTTAACTACCTAGTTAACTACTAAGTTATGTATATTTGAAAATTCCAAGGGCTACACCGAGGAAGCCGTAACTTAGGTAATAAAGATATTTCACATGATATAGGTACCTATGATTTAAATACATTAGGTACTCAAATACCTTATTACATGTTATGTAATTATGAATCGCATTTTTATCGTGGTTCTAGTTGAAACTCTATTGAAACTCTGTGTATTGTACCTACTTGACGATTTATTAATTGAACGCTTATCTAATAGTGCTATGCATCTATGGGCGGCCCCATAATTCTATGTATTGTATCTCGCTGCAAAACGCGGCATTGCTAAATTGAATCACCTGCACGCGCGACTTAGTGTCACATGGTCCAAGCTTTTTAGAGGGTCTGTCGTGAATTCGGACTTCTCAGAGTAACACTCAACATTATCACTGTCACTTAGATTACGAAGAGAGGGGACTACACATCATGTCCTATTAGGGTTCCTTTTTTCGCGGCAATTGATTCTAAAATCTCATGGAGCTTCTATGGAACATATGTTCCAAGGCGCCTTCATGACTCGAAACAATCTTCGCGATCACTTAAGTTGGTTACTTGCGAATGTTGCTCTAACCGCGCCAAACGCGCCTATTCTACCACCCGCTCGAGACCAACCATCCTCCGATATATCCTCCTCTCTCCCCCATTCGACTGTCCGGCGCCCCGAAACCCGTACTAAAAACGGTACTGAACCATCTCTATATCCAATTCTTCCAGACGTCCAGTCTTTGCACACGGAGCCGCCTGATGGGTCGACGAAACCGGTAGCGAGACCGCTCGAGGTGTCCGGGGGGGTTGTGGCAGGAGAAAGGATGGGACGATTAACTTCGAAATCTGGCTCGAAACGGCCTGCTCTTGTTCTACGCCAGGAGCAATTGCTTACCCCGACATCTACAAGCAGAGGCGCGGGGTTAGGATTGGGGTTGGGATCGGGATCGGGATCGGGTTCCCTTGCTAAAGAATATGCTGCATTGCTGAAGAACTCAGGTCGGATTCCCCGTTTGTTCTGGACTACGAATGTGTGGCTAAGAGAAAATTATAGGTGTTGCGAATTCCGCTAAGAAAAGGACTTCGTCCCGGCAGCAGTTTCCGACTCCAGGGCCCACATTCGGAAGCGATTGTACCTTTGACACGGTCGACCTAACCAACGAAGACGAACTGACTTCGATGAATTCTGTTGCGTTCGGAAGCAACACCGGTCTATGGCGGGAAGATTTTGCTACTCGGCCCGGTCCAGCCTCGACTACCACCGCGCCCTCAGTTGCGTTCGGGACTGACATTATGGTATGGGAGGAGGAGCATGCTATGCGGGCAGAGCCAACCCATACGACGGACAACTCGGTAGCGTTTGGGAGCGATGTTATGATATGGGAGGAGGAACGTGCAGCGCGGCCTGCGCCGCTGACCCCCAAACGAGGTAAAAAGAGAAAAAGTGACCAAATCAGTCAACCGCCTACTACCACTACCGCTGAAACAGATGATTTCCCCGATATCTACGAAGTCTTGTCCGAGGAAGAATCCATGCACTCTCACCTCAAGAAATCCCCGTCCAAATCGCCAGCCAAGACGAAGCTAAAGACGACAGCTAGTCAATCACCATCGAAAGCTGTAACTTCGCCCAGGAAAGACACGATCCGGCGAGCTAGAAAAGGAGAAGAAGCCACGGATGAATCTTCGTCCGCCGCTGAGCGTACCATAAAGCAATCTCCTGCCAAGCTATCGCTGAAAAACGTTGTTCCTTATGACGCGACGGATGCCGAGAACAGGCGTGCGACATCTTCTGAACACGATTCACTTTCGGAAGATACCCCGGAGACTCCCAAAGTGCGGACGGCACAGATGCGGAAATCCCGAATGTCAAAGCCCGATAACCGAGTTATTAAGGACTCAGATGACGAGCTTATGACGCCTCCTACTTACGACGCACCAGACAGCACGGCTCACTCAAGTAGCCGCCCCAAGACCTCTATTCGGATATCTCAGGATGCTGATGATGATGTTGTCGCTTACGATACACCATCGAAGCCGAGGCAGGTAACCCAAAGTGAGAGGCGCACACCGTTCCGCTCATCCCGGAAACCTGAGCAGCATGCATCCTCCCAAGTCAGTATGGCTAGGGGTTATGACCAGGAACCGGAAGCTGGCCCCTCGCAGAGATCTCAGTTGATGAGTGAACCAAGTATCGTGATTGATGAGAATGAACAAGATACTATTCTGGAATTATTCCTCGCCCAACCTTTAGTCACCATCGAAAGGGCAAGAGAGTTACTGGAAAAGAAACTACAAGACAACAAAGACGCATATAAAGAGTCTTTGAAAAGCGGTAACCTTGGTCCCAGAAGTCGTCTCAAGCAGGAGAAAGAGCGACTGGCACGACAACAGGCAGCTTTGGGTGACCTCTCAAGGGATTTTCGTTCTTACGAGGAAGTTCAACTCAAGAAGGAGGCTTTGATCTCCCGAATTTCAGACGCTTACGACCAAGACCTAGATACACAGGACGATGAGGCCCGTCTTGAAGAACTAGAGGATTTGCTCAAAGAACGCCGATCAATCCTAAAGCCTAGCCTTCTGAAAGCCGGTATCGACAATCGGAGTTTTTTTGAGACTAGCGAGACCCGTAGTACCGAAGCTGAGCATCCCAATCCTATTGTACGTGCAACTCAACCAGCCAGACCTGTGCCGCCGACGAGTTTCTCGCGGGAGTCGACACTTATCCCGCGAGGTAATACTCAAGTAATTCTTCAAACCCAGCTTTCTCATCAAGCAGACGATTCTTTCCCAATTCCGGGGCGAGATTATGATGAATTACCGTTGCCGCCGCAGAGTACTGCAGGAAGGCCCCGTCGCCAGGTTACTTCTCCTATACCCGAAAGTGGTGAACTATTTAACGAGCAAGTGCCGTTTACCATAACTAGCAACAGCAGGTTAGCAAAACCCCCTACTCGTCAGAAACCGCCCGTAGACATAAGTCAGGGCCCCTATGATTTTGATGACGATGACGATCCATTCAATGATCCGTTGCCTCCAGTCAGTCGACATGTACCAACGTGGACGACAAATTCTCAACTCGGAAGCCTTAAGAGCCATAAGAGCCCGATTAAGGCAAAATCTAGTCAACAGAAAGGCTACCAGAGCGACTACAGCGACGATGTTGACATGGTTCAATTTGCAGAGGAGCTTGATCTCCGACAATCATCGTCGGAGAATAGACTACCTAGGAGTCATCGTCCCGTCCTTTTGGAAACGTCTGGAAACGTGGGGGTACGACCCCAGAAAGTGGCTATCCCGAAGATTATAGACCCATCGATGTCAGCACATATTCCACGTGAACTTAAAAACCGCCCGTGGTTTAAGGATGTGAAAAAGGCGTTAAAAGATAGGTTTAGAATGACTGGGTTCAGGCATAACCAACTCGAGGCAATCGATGCCACTCTAGCAGGTAAAGACGCATTCATTCTAATGCCCACGGGAGGTGGCAAATCCCTCTGCTACCAACTCCCGGCTGTGATCACGAGCGGAAAGACGCATGGTGTTACAGTTGTTGTGTCCCCCCTCATCAGCTTGATGCAGGACCAGGTGCAGCACCTCAAAGCGTTGAATATCAGGGCCTCTGCCTTCAGCGGCGAGCTATCCCAGTCAACCCGTAATGAGATCATGGATAACTTGAAGAGGAGCCATCCTGAACATCACGTGCAGCTTCTCTACGTCACCCCCGAGATGATCAACAAGAGCAAGGCTTTCCTAGACGGTTTGACCACCCTTTATGAAAACAAGAAGCTCGCGCGTCTCGTAATTGACGAAGCCCACTGCGTGAGCCAATGGGGCCATGATTTTCGTCCTGACTACAAGGAACTCGGCAGCTTCAGAGAAGCGTTCCCAGGTGTACCCCTGATGGCTCTTACGGCCACTGCAACAAAGAATGTTATTCTAGATGTGAAGCACAATCTAGGGATCGAGACATGTCAGGAATTTTCGCAGAGCTTCAATCGTCCTAATCTCTACTATGAGGTTTTGAAGAAGGAAAAGGATAGCGTTGGGAGCATTGCCGAGCTAATTAATACGAAGTACAGTGGAAAGACGGGCATCGTATATACGCTCTCCCGTAAATCAGCGGAGAAGATTGCTGAGAAGCTGCGAGGCCACGGAATCGCCGCTCAGCATTATCATGCAAGCATCAAAGCCCACGAGAAGGTAAACGTCCAGACAAGTTGGCAAGCCGGTGAAACCAAGGTCGTTGTAGCAACTATAGCCTTTGGAATGGGAATTGACAAGCCCGATGTTCGCTTCGTCATTCATCACTCCATCCCCAAGAGCCTCGAAGGATATTACCAGGAGACTGGCCGTGCTGGTCGAGATGGGTTACCTTCGGAGTGCTACTTATACTTCAACTATGGCGATGTGTCCTCCCTGAGGCGGATGATTACCGACGGCGATGGTAGCGAAGAACAGAAGGAGAGGCAGAGGAATATGCTCAACACTGTGGCTGCCTTCTGCGACAACCAAAGTGACTGCCGACGGGTGGAAATTCTCCGTTATTTTGGGGAAGCATTTGACAAAGAGCAGTGCGGTAAGACCTGTGATAATTGTCTGAACGAGGAGGTGTTCGTGCAAAAGGACTTTAGCGAGTATGCGGTTGCGGTTTTATCACTTATGAAGTCCCAAGGAAAGCTTACACTCATTCAATGTACGGATTTCTTGATGGGAAAAAAAAAGATTTCGGACTACAAACCGGGAACGGAACAATATCGTGGGATCGCCAAGCAGATGCAAAAACACGACATACATCGAATTGTCGACCGACTCGTTGCAGAGGATGCACTGAGGGAAGAGAACATCTTCAACAACAAGTCCAGGATGGCTATTCAGTATTTTAAGGTAAAGAATCTTCGATCTTTAGCTGCTTCTTCGCTAACTATTTTGCTATAGGTTGGGCCCAGGGCGCGTGTCTTCTTAAATAATCAACGCCAGCTTTTCCTGACTACCCGAGTTAAGGACAAAGATAGTCAGGGCGGTGCATCTAAGAGGCAAACACGAATCAGCCAACCGGCTACTGCTGCGACGAAGCGGGCCGCCCCTAGCCATATCCCATCTACGAACGTGTCATCGCCTATTCTAGGTAGGGACCGTAAGAAGAAAGGGAAGGCCTTAATGATATCGGAAAACGAAGATAGTGACGACGAGTATTCCAGATTTAGCAATGGGTATGCTAAAGATGGGTTTGTAGTCGCTGATGATTCCAACGATGACTTCGAGACGATGCCTCCTCCGCGACCGAGAGCCCGGACTCAGCGAACTACGCTTGGACCTCCAATATCCCATGATGCGCGTATGGATAGTGTTGAGTTATCCGGCCTATATGACGATATACTCCACAGCTTCCTCAAGGAGGCTAAAGATCTGGAAGAGAATCTCCGAAATTCTAAAAATTTGCGCTCGCCTATTTTTACCGAGCAACAACTCCGCGAAATGGCTATAAGATGGACCATTTCTCTCGATAAGATGCACTTGATTCCTGGTATCAATAATGATAAGGTGGATAGGTACGGTAGTAAAATGCTACCCCTAATACGGCAATACCATCAGCGATATCGAGAGATCATGGGTCAGACGAGCCCCCAGGCTGTCGCTACTGCGTCTGGCTCTCGCGATGTCGTCGACCTCGTGTCAAGTGACGACGGTATGGATGACATCGAGGATGATGGGGAAGAGGACTTCGATGACCCAGGTGCGGTATCTTCCTACTTCCCACCTTCAGCTGAGCATACAGGCCGAGGGGCTACGGCATCTCGTGCATATTCTACGCCGTCTGCGGCTCGGTCGTCAAAGGGAACTACATGGCGTGGAAGCAAGAAGCCGTTCCAGCGTCGGTCATCTGGGGGCTCTACTAGAGGAAGCAAGCCATACGGTGGTGTTAAGAAGAAAGCCACTGCTAGTAGTCGGAAGACTACATCCTCGACCGCTTTCGGCGGCGGCGGATCACGACGAGCGGGAAAATCGACAGGCGCAGGAGCTAGCAGCGGCAGTAGGGCGAGATCACAGGGTGTAAGCCACAGCGGCATCGGGCTTATGGAACATTGATGAATGGAGCGTGTTATATTATAAATTACTACGTTGCGCGTTTTATGCTTGCTGCATGGTATGGACGATCGCATGAATAGGGCAGGGGAACCGGGCCGGCGCATGTGAAGGCGTTTTGATATTCTTTAATGGTATTTCTGCCCGGCCAAGGCGCGGTTGCATGCGTGCATTCGTCTTGTTATTCTAACACCTACCTACCTACCTACCTACCTACCTACCTACCTACCTACCTACCTACCTACCTATAGTTCTACCTTGACGTAGACTACGAACTAAAACGATGTCTTTTATTTCTCGGCGTGGCGGTAGATAAACATATACCTAGACGTCTTTGGATGGTGTTTGTGACTTCACTGCGGGGGGTAGTTTACTTGATGTGCAATTCACGTCTTTGGGATCGAGTGTTGAGAAGGTAGGAAGGGAATAGGAGAAGGGGAAGATAAAATACGATATCATTACTATCTAACGTATATGTCCTAACGGCTGTAAAACCGATCGCAGACAAGTGTCGCGACAATATATTGATCATACTGTTTCTATAGATATCTCTCAGCCGTCCAACGAGCCGTCAAAATACACGTAAAGGTCAATTATATTCTCCAAGGAACTTCGTACCCAATCATGTAGGATATACATCTCCCAAATATGGTTTGACTTCTAGTTCCCCATAGCTTCTCAAAGACCTTTGGGTTTTTGTCTACGATTCTGTATCCATGGAATTCGTCAGAACGAGCGCTGTAGAAACGTCTCGCGCCGGCGTAGTCCTCCTCGGGGATGCGGTATAGATGTATGTTTAGGTAACGGGCCATGACCGACGTGTTGTTGCGCCGGCCAAGCAGATACGACGGCCTATGCGGCCCGTCGTCTTGTGCGGACTCGTGCAGCAGCCCGATGATGTGTCCGAGCTCGTGGCAAAAGGCAATGGTCATATGCTCTATGCACGACTCTCCGAAACAGGCTTGATACACGAATAGCCGCTGGTCCCCTAGAACGCGCGGTAAGAAGGTGGCAGCTAAGGCGTTAGGATGTCTACGATCATAACTCGTGTATGTAAGGCGGAACAAGGCCCGCTGGTCGTCGGGAACGTCCTGGAATCGCACGCCAATATCACCTTTGTTCCATTCTGTAGCTGCCCCCTTGAGACTGTTACGGGCGTATTCCGCAGTGAAGTCGTTGGGAAAGCTGCCCTGGTCGACATTGTACGTGAGCACAGACCCCGGCGTCCACCGATGTATTTGGTTGCTCATCCCGACGTCGATGAGGACGTGGGCAGGGGGGCCTGGCTGGCATCGAGATGAGGTTAGCCATCTCGATGCAAGACTTGTCAGACTGGCATATGCCCGAATAACGAAACCGAACCTGAAAATAATGGGGTTTAACGGTAGAGTGCCCCGAACTCGAATATCGTTGGATGTGGCCTGTGGTTTTGACCGGTTGTCCGTAGTAATGAGGTTTAAGTTGTCATTTTCCACAACGTCCCGGCTTGGACGAGTGTTCGAGGACGTAAACTATCGAGTAAGATAGATAATTAGTTAGATGGACGAAACTAAAGGGCAATATTTCAGTAGCTTACTACCTAGAGCACAAACCTGTTCCATTCGCTTAATCCTTTTGTATAAGTACCTGTCTTGTTATATACTATCGAGGGTATCTTTTTATCCACCGCAATAGATTCACTCCCAAGAGTCAACCTTTTAAACTATTTATTATTCGAGCCTTTAGAAGTAATAGTAAGCTTCGTTTCCCGCCGAGTCAACGTCAGTTAATCGTTTAATTCGAACTGCCTTCGATATTATAATAATAAAGACAGCGAAAGGAGGTGGTAGTTAATATATACGTAAAGCCTAGCAAGATGTTCAACGTCGTAAGATACAGTTTTAGACAATTCTCGGGTCTCCCGGAAGACCCTTGTTGTCAAAGGAATATTTGTTTTGTTCGAGTAAGAATCAAACCAGAATATTCAAAAACTTCACATCTTGTAATAGTTACTAATCATAGAAATATTTTTATATTATGTTCTATATACCCGTAGCTCTGCCATCATACAAGGTATATTTCATTATTATAAGATGAGTTCTATGTATATGGCTTACAACCGCGCCTGCGACCTAACATTTACTACCTATATATATGCGGCTTAATCTAGAAAAGACGTGTTGAATTTCAGAAGTATCACTCGAGGACCTAAATAAGGGTAGGGATGAATTATATTAGAAGCCGACGTGGCTATCCTTTAAAACACAACGCTATAGCTTGATACCACTTATCAAAATTATGGACTACGACTGCCTGCTTATCCCGACTAGCCTCTCCCATCTATACTATACGCCGCTGGACGTCGAAAAAAACGACCGATGAATAAATGCGCTACGTAGGTACAGTAGATAGTAGATGATATATATCGTACAACACAATGCTTGCTTCTAGTCCCGGGGTTCACCTTGCCTTCTCGCCAAGACTCCCACGAGTCTCTCGCCCTCTCCCTCTCTCGCACACATCTCCTTAGCATGCTCAATCTGTTCAGCCTCTAGAACCGCAAAAGCGCCCGTTCGCCCCTTCAGTTGTATGCTAAAGACTGCCCCCTTCTCCAAAGAATGCCTATAGTAGGGATGGGGTTTGGATATAATAAAAAGACATAAATAATAGGTATCACTGTAATGGAACCATATCCATGATGACCCCTGTTGAAACCTAGAAATACCCTAAGAACGCCTTGGCCCACCTCCGCATTCACCATGCGGCGTCTACCCTCGTTTCCGCGTCAAGTATGGCGGGATGAATATGGATAATGTGATAGATAATCCAAACTCCAAGGGAAACGTAGCGGCTTAGCTCGGTTGCCTCATGCCAACGATATTCGTGTTGGCCGCTAATCCATTAACGATTGTATAACTTGAATGCCAATAAGACTAGAAGAAAAACGATAGTCCTTCATGGTGTCACTGAAGTAGAATCGAAGACAAGATAAGTCCGTCTTGCAGGACTCCGACAAATGGGATAGCACAAGAGAGTGACTTAGTCCTCTCCATCGTTACGCTCGCTATCACCCGCGAGGCTATTTTTAAAAGTGCCAACGGGGTTTGTTATCTTTCGGCTTCGATTCTATTAATGTGCTACCCCTGTGCATAGCAGTACGTGCCGCAGCGGTAGCCTGTGGGCTGTAGCGGCCATTTGAATCGTCCATCTTCGACTTAGGTTGAGGGAGTAGACTAATGCGACGGTTGCTCGTCGACAAGGAACTAGCCGATCGCCTATTATCGCTTAGACCAAAATCTAGCCTTGGTGGCTGAAGTGAAGCTCTTCGACTATCAAAGGTAGAAGACCCTTGTGTTGCGAACCGAGACTTAGCTGCCGACAGCGGAACAGATTGTCCCGCAGAAGCAGCAGCATTGATCCGGTCACGGAAGGAGAGCCGAGATGTACTCTTCCTAGGAGGCGTGTCCTCTGGAGCTGGTGAGGATGAAGTTGCCATTACTAATGAACTGCGGAGAGGAAGCTTCGAGCCCCCAGGAGACTGCCCAAGCGAGGATGCCGCGCGCACGGAAGACGCTTCTTTAGCATATGGACTAGGGGTAGTAAGGGTGAGCGGTTTGAAGTTATGTCCTACGTCAGAATCGTTGGTATTTGTGGATGTATTCCATCGCGGGCGGCTATCAGAGGTGTTGGAATTAGATCTTCGGAAACGGGTGAGAGGTGTGACACTACCACTTCGAGGCGGCGTGGTCAGGCTAGTAGTACTCGGTTGGAATGTAGAGAGTCGAGATCCAGGGGGTCGCCGTGAAGGGGGAGCCAAACTCGAACTACTTCTGCGAGCCGAAGCAGGCTGAGGTAGATGACTTCCGCCGCTAGTAGTAGTACGCCTCTTATGCTGTGTTAGGGAACTGTTTGACTCTAGACCTATGCTGGACATGACGACTGATGATGGCGGCGAACTTCCCGGAGTTTCATTGCCGCTAGCAATAGTTGATCTATCATTCGAGAGCATACTGGAGATCGAGTCTCGTAGCTGTTGGCTATGCTTCTTAGACTGGATCTCCTCTATGATGCCGCTTAGCCCTCTCATGGATTCCCTTGCTTCCTCCCACTTGGATTCCAACTCGTTATGTAGCCGAAGAATTTCGCCGTTCACAGTAAGTCTATCCTTAACACCCTTGTCGATGATAGATAGCACGCGCTCGATTGCTGGTCCATAATGTACTCTTTTTGCCTCGTAGCTCTCAATCTTCTTGCTCATCGCCGCGGGACCGGAGTGCTGCAAACCTTGGTCTACTGCCTCGTACACTTTTGCCATGCTCCGGTCTACAGACTCGATCATCTTCTGAGCCTGTCTACCAGCACCACGAAAAACGAGAACCCATTTGTCCTCGCCAAGCTCCTTTCTAAGGGATTCGGCGTCCTTCTCAAGTTTCTTGTAGCTAGCTTCCAAGCCCGTTCTCCTCATTTCCAGTTCTTCGCAGGCTGTCGGGAAAGCACCAGAAGCTCTCGCCTCAAATACCGAGAGTCGCATAGGCAAAAAGTCCAACGATGCTCTCAGGGGTTGCATCCGCGCGAACAGTGCAAGTAAGCTCGAGTCGTCTTGGGTGAGTGCGGGAGTTCCTGGAGAGCTTGGACTGAGCGGAAACGATGGTACACTAAATCGGTTATTGCGCATGACAGCTGGTGGCGTCTCCTCGACGATAGTCTCTAGGTCGCCTATATCCATTCCGTCCCCGTTTGAAACGGCCATCATGGATTTGTGACGCCGTTCCTCCATTTCGAATATTAGTCGGCTTAGCTCATCCATTTCGTTCTGAATATCGCCTAGAACCATATTCCAAAGCTCCTCCCATTCCATAGCCGTCTCGACCTGGCTTTTAATATTATTCAGAGTGTGCCGAATCTTAGCCCATGCATTCATAATAGCTTCCATCTGTGTAACCGCTCTTTGGAGGTCCTCGCTGGATACGCTGGCAATATCTGGCCTGTTTTGCAGCTCTTCAATAGCGCCCACGTAGACATTGATAAGCCCTTCAAATCTTGTGATGGCGTTTTCTACTTCTTCATACCCTTCTCTGCCCCCGGCCGCGGCCCATTCGACATCGTCATCGCTGTCTAGGCCTCCGATGACTTCAGAGGCTTTCGAGATCCAACTTCGAATCTGTTCAGCAGCACCCAGTAAGGCCTTCGCCGCCGCCTGGGCCGTGGGAATAGCGGCGACCTTACTCGACAATAACTCGGCATCGGGCAGCTGGAGCGCAGTAAGCTGGGCAAGCTGGTTGGCAAACGACGCGCGGGATATCGTATATATAGACCCTGCGCGCTGAAGACCGAGGGGGTTGAAGTAGGATGGTAAGTCGGAGGTATAATCAGCAGGAGTTGCACTCCCAGGAGGCGTATCTTTAGGAGGCAGAGGAGGTGGCGAGTCGGAGTGGTCGACGATCTCTAATTTCGGAACGCGCGAGTCTCGTTTGATGTGCTCCCTCCGGGTATCGAGCTGTGCTTTAGTGCCATTTCCATTCGTGTGGTCGGGCAATCGATATTTGTTGGTGTCCATTTCCAATGGCGGCGCCTCTATTATCTCCGGTAGTAGTTCAGGCTTGGAAGAGGATTCGGCTTGAACGAGTGAGATGGGTCTTTCTTCCTCGTTGGCACTCTTCCTCCGAAATGAGTCGCGGCTAGATCTGGATCTTAACAATTGGAGAGGTGCACCAGCACCTTTCCAAGGACGACCGCGTCGCTCGACGACAAGCTCGTTAGAATTGCTTTGATGTTTTTGGTCGAGTAGTCGCAGCTGGTCTTCTGGTAAACGGCCGACGTTTTCATGGGATGGCGATGAGGGCAAAGACGAGGCCTGTCTTTGGCTACCAAAACCAAGAGCCTTGAGACGAGCTGCCAAGCCAGGAGAAGGTCTACGTGCTTGATGATACTTGGTCTTAATTGTAGGAGAATTATTATTATTATGGATGTTGTTATGGGTGTCGGAAGGGAGAGATCCTAGCTGTACCAAATTGGTCGGGACGTTAGAAAATGTCAAAAGATCGAGAGGCGGGTCGGCGGCATTTTGTTGTTGCTGTTCAGGATCAGGAAATCCTGGGTCCGAAAAAGCGGAGGCCGTCGGGGTGGTGGGAGATTGGCGAGAGGAAGAAAGCGGCCGGGTGATAGAGTGTTGGCCGTGGAGATAGTTTTGTGATGGTGAAGAAGCTGGCACTGCTGCTGCTGCATCTGGTGCTGGTGCTTCTGCAGCTGGGCCGGCTCCAGATGGGCCTGTCATTTACCGATATAAGTGATAAGTGCTTTGGAATATATCACTTTATTTTTATTATCCTTCTTTTTTCTTTTTTTTTCTTCTTGTTTGGGATTCTTAACCCTCCTCTTCTCTAGCGTCTAGGTGAGGCAGCAGTCTGTGTTATTGCCCACTTCCTACTGCAGCTGCACAGACATAGGCGATGGGCTCCTTGTTTTTTTTTTCTTACAGCCACGGGATGATCTCCTATTTTTCTGGGATAGAATTACACGTAACGTGGTCGGGACGAGGAGGAATTGGCGTGTCGGCGGAGTCGTACAGGCTTGATTGGTGTGGGGGGGAGCGCGGATTCGATGTACTTGTCACAAATTAAGTACAGAAACACCTTATGTCGGTCGTTGCTTCTTCAGTGTATTTCCTGCCCTAAACCTTT